GTTTGGAGTTTACATTAGAGTTGTTTTAATGTAGAATGATTAATTTTATTTCATAATTTATTTAATTGACTTGCAATTATTATCTATCAAAAGAATTATTAAAATATGTATACGATCAAATATTGTTTGATTATTTTTGTTAATCTATTTTTAAAATGTATAAATAAAATAGAAAACAAATCGATAAAGATACTTTTTTCAAGCAGATAAGAAAACTGATACCTTACAAGAAGTAGAAATGACAAACAGGACTTAACAAAACAAAGTTTAGAAATAAAATGTTGAAAGATTAATTCCATTATTATTTGTTGAAGATTTTAATGTCCAAATAGTTAAAATATACGTTATCAACCATGAGTTTATGAACTATAGATGAGGAAGACAACATAACTTGAGGCACATTTAAAATATTCCTAATAAGTAAAGATTTATTAACTAATTGTTTGTTTTTTACTAAATATTGAAGTTTCTACAGTAATATTCTGTCTATACATGGGTAAAGGTTGCATTTTAAGTATTACTGATTTCTCTATTACAAGCTAAATTTTATTTTAATAAATGAATAAATAAAGTTAGTTGTATCCACACTATGCATGATTTGTTACATTAGGGATAAATGTCTGCCAGGCGTACCAACTATTATTTACACAGACAGTATAATGCAATTGCAGCTGTCAGTTTAGGTTGACCATCATCGGGATAAGTTTAACTACCATTGGTTACAACTACCGTAGTTGATACAGTCAACATATTGCAAACAGTGCGGATGCAGTATTATAGCAATTTTCGTTGAGAACAATGTAACTAGATGAACGTGACTTGTATGCAAATAAGAGAAGAGGGTAAATCTTGGATTAAAATGAAGATAACAAAAAAAATAATGAAATGTGAGAAAGAAAATGCGAAAGACAAGGTGCGGAATTAAAAATCTGGATATTTATATCCGAGCGACTGGGGGAATGATTATAGAAGTATTACTTAATAATCCTTGTAGCGTCGGGGATGTTTTCGAATTAAATGCAAATATTTGTACCCTTCGTGACCGGAACGCGAGAACCGGGGTTGTCTGATCCTTTTTTTTTAATCCTGAAGCTGAAACGAAGATCGTCGATCTTCTCGCGCGCTTTGGATAGAGACAGCAGTTACGTAATTAATGGGCGAATTGGATCGGGAAATGAATACGTCCGATTGCGATAGGGCTGTTGCACACATGCACACACAGAGGGGGTGAATACTGCGCGCGTGTGCATGTGTCTGGCTTTGTCTGTATGCTTGTATGTACACACGTGTGTGTGTGTCTGTGTATGCGTGTGATATATTCCGTTATTGTCGACGGGAAGTAGGATAATGTAGCGAGCGGCCTTATGTGCGTTGCCCTTCGGGGGCTGTGTCTGCCGGTAAACTATTTAAAGGGACCCTTCCGGTCCGGATATGGCGTACAGTAAAAATAACACATCGCCGGTATTTTATCTATCTGATGGATATCGTTAATGACCACGCAATATGACCGTCCGACCGCAAGGCCATATTGCGCGACACGATTGTCCCGGCACACGGATTCGTGCACTATATAAATATAGTCCAGAAAGGACAGATTCAGATTTATTCTATGCATGAGGGACCCAGATGAGACATGAGACACGTAAAAATCTAGCAGCTGCTGAACATAAGACGCTGCAGCAGCCTTATTAAAAATGATACCGCCCAGCGCCACCCCCGCGCCTCACCCCCGCACCGCGGACTCTCACTCTTTCTCTAAGGCTTCTCCTTCCCTCACCATCTCCATCTATATATATATACTATGTTTTTTTTCCTCTTAACTTCTTCGAAAAACTTTCATCCAATTTACACATGCTACCTCTTCTTATATTTTCGAAAAACGTTCCTCCAATTTATATGCATGCTTCGTGTTTTATAGTTTGGTTTCTAGTTTCCTTTTTTTGTTAAACAAATCCCCTTTCAACATTTCATTCTTAGTCCAAAGCAATTGTCATATCCATCTGTAAATATATTTATATACATATCTTTTTTCTCTTCGAAAACTTTCTTTACAATTAACACATGCTACCTTTTCTTCACGCCTTATATCTTCTAAAAATCTTCCTCCAATTTATTCACATGCTTTATGCTTCATAATTTAATTTTTACTTTCATTTTCACAGTAGATTTATTGCAATTTTCATCCATCTAAATTTATTTAACACAAAATATTCAGTATTTTTGCATTTTAATTTTTCAGAATTATACAAAATGCATAAACAACAAACTCATTTTAGATATTATACATAATTCTTAGGAAATGCTGAATTCATATTGTAATTTTTATTTTTATTTCTAAGAAAAACTACTATCTATTTTCAGTTTTATATTTTCGAAAATTCTACGTGTTTTATAGTTTACTTTAGGTTTATATATGTTTTTTTTATTAAATTCCCTTTCAGCGTTTCATAGTTGGTTTCTTTTTTCAGTTGGTGAATGCAATTGTTGGGCCGTGTGAAATGGAAAAATGTGTGCGTGTGTGTATATATGTATGAGTGTGTATGTGTGTGTGTGTTGGGGTGAGGGTGCTAGGGGCCAGGTGTTTGTTGCTTTGCACTCGCCAAAGTGGAACAAACGGTACATACAGGGTGGACGAAATGTATGTATGTATGTATATATATATATACACGCAGATGTGCTTAAAGGGCCAAAGCACGCGCGCTCTGTTACCCTACTCGCATATGGCACAACCTCGACTCTTTCAAAAAGGAGAGAGAAACAAAGACAGATAGAGCAAAGAAAGAACAAGAATATACAGATGAAATAAAACTATTTTCACCGTCACATGTTCAGCGATTAAATAAAGTTTCGAGCTAAGAACTAGTATTTTCATATATTTCTTCATTATTATTCAATATTTGTTTTAATTTTTTTTAAATAAATAACAAATTAATATTTATGTATTTAGAAATATTTGGTCAAATATTCATTATTAAACATTAATAAAATTAATTAAAATATCAAAAAAAAAACTAATCAAAATTATCTTATTACCAATTAAACATTGATCGTTTCAGCATTTCGTGGCGTTAGTGTTTTTTTATCTATGGATTTGCTTCATTGAAAAACTTATCAATATTTATTTATTTTAATTAACAAAGGATTAATTACTTCATTATATCAATAACTGTATTATTTAATCTTTATTTTTAAATATTTGTTCTTATGTGAATTGTGGTTAAATTTTATTAGAATATGAATGTTTTAATATAATTAACTTGGCAAAACGTTCATATTTTATAAATGTGTGTGTTTGTCTACGTAATTTATGTTTGTTTCAAAGGTGTGTACATGTTAGTTTTATTTAAAGTATGAAAATTGAAAATATAAACAAAAATGAATTGATTATAAACTATTTTACAATTTTTATTGGTCCTAAATTAAGACATAGCTGTGGTCTTTCCGCCAGGCGATAATTTAATAATTTATTGTGTAAACATAATACGTTTTGATGCTGACATTGTTTAGGAAACATGGTTGTAATAAAACTAGACCCTCGGAAATCGTGCATATACTCGTAAAAGCGATAATTAAAAGGCGAATTTCTGTTTGTAAAACACCCGTTCATAACAGGAAATCATTGAATTATCTCAATCTTTTCATTTTTAGATTGATCCTTAAGAATAAATTTTAAAGCTAATTACAAATATAAATTGAGTATTTGTAAAATAATTGTGTTTGTCAACAAATTAATAATAAGAACAAATCATTTTGTTGTCGAAATACAATTGATTAGTGGAGATAGTTGAGTGTACTTAATGCAATATATGTTGCGTACTCACTTGCACTTCATGCATTTAATTAAGTTCGAAATGGCCGAACTTATGAATTTAATATGAATCAATTAAAGTCACTTAACGCCCGTTGTTATAATATATAACAATTATAATTTATTTTATCGCAATGCAATTTGGAAAGTTTCTCACTGAATTCGTTATATGATCAGTTAATGTTGTGTCAATTACTTGTAGGTAATGAAAACAACAACAATCAATTTATATTTGTCTCTAGTTTAGAGTAATAACTTAATTTATTAAATGAGTTAATCGTTACGAATATTGAATAATTGTAAATGCTGTACACCACGCGTATTGTTATAAACCAATTATTTTGTTAATTCGTAAGTTGAAGTTTTCGTGTTACGACGTAACAAATAAATTAGCCTAAAATACTTATTGTATATATATAACATAAAAATTAGGTTAAGTTAGGTTAAGATTTAAAATACTCTTGAAATAATTCGAATCTAATTGGATTCTCATATATAAACTTTATGGATATATCAATGTTTATAACATTTATGTTAAGTTATTTTGTGAAACATTTCATATTTACTATTGGCAATACTAACATGTGCTGTCATATGATTTTTAGAACCGCCAAATTTAAATCCGCGATTTTATTGAGACACCCTATATACATTGAAATAATCGTAGTTTTATGCAAGTCTTCGGTAATTCTTTATTATTAGTATCTTAGTTAGTGATAAAATATAATATTATTATAATGTCAAAACACGGTGATGCAATATAATGTTAAAATATACTGAAAGAAAGCTTTAAATCTGGCGCAGGTTGTTGCTCTATTGTATATTGTTGCTGGCGGTACAGATTTATTTGTCTTATGGAATAATGAGGGAGTTCTGAAACATAAATGGACATCTGTTTATGGTCGGATCGGCGATCTAGGCACGTTGCATAACGCAGAACGGGTAGGCTGCGTGCTTCTGAATCTAAGTGAAAAATTTGGTATTGCAATCGTTGGTGAGTATAACGCATGCATGGAAGGATAGGATGGGTGGATTGTATTGTGATAGTTTTTTTTACACTCTCCGTCTCTCTTTATTGTTCCGAGGGGTGGAGGTTGGGGTCGAGGGTAGCTAGCAATAGGCAGCTAGCAAATGGTTTGTTTCCCCACTACTTTTCAGCTGGCGGAGGATATATGACGAGCAGGTAGTGGCTGTGACAGAGAAGCGGCCGTGTGTGTGATGTCTGTTTAAGTTGGTTGGAGTCGTGTATGAGCTGCCGTCCGTTGTGGTAGTAGCATTCAGTTGGAAGCAGCAGCAGCAGAAGCAACAGTAGTAGTCTATTTCGTATATAAGTTATATGTGTCTTGAAGTGTGACTGGGCCATTTAGTCTCATCGGGCGGGAGTTGGAACAGCTGCAGTCGCGCAAAGCTAAATTCTAAATTTAGTTTCAGTGGTTGGCGCACTCCGAATCTACGTAGATTCTGTCTGTACTATCCAGTCCACATTTCCCACACACGTGCTACTTATCTAAGTGTATTATGGATTCAAGCCTACTCGGGGTATTTACTTAAATCGAGAGAATAAGGCTGGTGCTGGTGCGGAGATTCGAGAGCTGTGCGTGATATCAAATAGAGACATATGCGAGATCGCCGGACCAACTTTACCAAAGAGTATATAAACAATATTGTAAACCCCCTAGGAAATCGTCCAGATCCATTTGGGAGTCGCGCATCGAGAGCCACGGAGGCCCAAGGCGTTGCTCGTGCAACAACAGAGCGTGTGGTCGAGCCTAGCATCATCACGACCACCATCACCACAGCCGCCACAGCCACGATATCCACGGCCCAGGAGTCGCCGACCGCCGCTGCCACCGCCGCCGCCGCAGCCATGCTTATGCAGAACGCAGTGCCGACGTCGGAGGGCGAGAGCCTAGGCCTCAGCCTGCTGCCCAGCGCACTTAATGGTACGGCCGTCCAGAACAGGGACACCACCTGGACCAAGCTCTTTGTAGGAGGCTTACCTTACCACACCACAGACCGCTCTCTACGCGAACACTTTGCTGTCTACGGCGATATCGAGGAAGCTGTGGTAATCACCGACAGGGCGAATGGAAAAAGTAGAGGATATGGTTTTGTAAGTGTACCATCAACTTCTAATGCGAATTTTGCTAAACCGGTGAGAATTTAGGTTATTATGGGCGACCGAGCGTCAGCGGAGCGAGCATGCAGAGATCCAAATCCTATCATCGACGGCCGCAAGGCCAACGTGAACCTGGCCATCCTAGGCGCGAAACCTAGAGGCAACGTTCAAACCGGTAAATACCCGCTGGAAACAAGGAACCACTAAATAGACTAACCATGACCCGTCTTCCTATTGCTTACAGGATTTCAGTTTCCTGGTGTCCGGACCAGCTACCCTACTCTGATGCCCAGCCAATATGGGTAAGTACCAATGTTGCAAACGGCGCACGCGATCCACCATCTCTCATGACCCGTTCCATCTTATTGTTTTCTCTATTCTTTTATTTACTCTCATACACTCAAAAAAAAAATATAATAATGAAACTTCCGAAAGGCAGACTTATTTATTGGTTATTCCATATGGTTTTGCAGATTAACAATTGGCTGAGACGTGTCCCGAACCAACGTTCGTAAACGCCTCAATCATTTACAAAAATCGAGTAAAGAGTTAGTTTACTTTTACGATGAATGTTTGTGAGTGTGCGTGTGTTTTACTTTTATTTTTATTTACAACATTTTTTTATTTTCTTAATTTATTTTATTTACTTTTTTTTGGTAATTTATTGAGTTTCCACATTATTATTGAAAAAAAAAACAAAAACATTAAAAACTATATATATATATATTTATATGCAACAACAACAAGAACAATTTGATTTTGCACGGACGTGCGGGGCGCAGTGCACCCCCGTACGCCTAACGTTTGCTGTGAGGTTTTCGTTTTTTTTTGAGCTGACTACTTTTGATGTTCGTTTACATTTTTTCTTTTCCATTACTCACCACTGCAATGTAACACTAACGCGACACTAACAACGAAATGTATCGATGTGCTTGTTCAATTAACAAAAAAAGGCCGAAAAGAGCGATTCTTAGGTTTGAATTCTTAGTGTTACGCTGCAGTCGGTGGTAGTAGCGACTGGGGTGTGTGTATGGATTTGTTTACGAAATGTTCAGGGATCTCCATGATTTCTTTCCGTAGTTGTTTAGAGATCAAACTTAGCGAAGTAGTGTGTTTTTTTTGTGTTTCAACTTTCTTGTCTTTTTTTTGTTGTTGTTGTTAATGTTGTTTCATATGCGCCTCTTTTAATTGCACTTCTTGTCTCCGTCCGTCCATCGGGAATGGAAATGAAAGGAAGTGGGAATCGATTTACCGGTGGACAGGGCTGGCAGTCCTTCCGGTAATTTATGTGCGTTCCAATTCCCTGGGCGCGCAATCAACTTAACTTGAATTCGTATGACGATACTAAATGAACGAATTCTTTTTCCTCGAGGAGAGAAACCGAGTTTACCGAAAATAAACGTCGGCAGCGGCGGTGGCGGCGGACAAATATATATTTAATTATAGCGTCTCGGGCCGAATTCGAAAATAGAATCCCTTTTATCTCGCTCTCGGCCAGCTGTTGGACATCTCTTTGGGATGTCGTTCGGGCGACGCCTTCGCGGGGATCACGCGATTTTGGATAACCCGGAAGCGAGTGGCGGATTTCCTAAGGAAGGCGGGCTCTCTGCGCCCGGATAAAACGTTTCTATTGGATAATCTGCGGAGACTCGCACAAATCCGGGCTTTATTTGTGCGCCGGTTCTCCGGCTCCGGAAGCTCCCGGCGAGCCTATCCCATCCGCAAGCCACAACCACCCCTTTTTTGACACGCTGCCAACGAATTCTTATCCTCGCCGCCGTCAAGGATACAGCCACTCTGCGACGTGTCGCAACCATCTGCAACTTATACATTCTGCATCCTTGTAATGCAAATGCACACGAAGGACGAAAATCAATCCGGCGCCGCAACGTGCGCTATTAAAAAGGATTATTGATGCGATGCGACGGGGCGGCGATAAAAATTGCGCCCTTAAATAAAATGATGCCGACGCTCGAATATCGAACAATAAAACACAGAAAATGGCGGTAATCCACGGGGCACACACACGTGCATTCACAGCTTCATCAATAATTCAGGCTAATGCCAGCCAAATGAAGCGATGGAAGCATTGTTGTATTCCAACTTCTTCCATTTCCGAAAACAATTATCTACAAACAAAAAATACACGAAAATCATGATTATTATTATTATTACTATCATTTTTCACGGAACGCTGAATAATTTGTATGGCTCATTTTATATATATATAAATATATATACATTTTATCATAAATTTATGTATGTGAATAGACAATTGCTGCGCAGCTATTAAATAGTATGTGGAATAACAGCGTTGCCCGGTATCTACATAATTTATATACGAAACGAGGCTACCTTTTCATAATCATAATAATAACAGCAACAACAGCGGTGGCGTTCATGAAACCGCACCAAACCGTTTTCAGATTCATTCACTTCTTTATTCACCGACACGCTTCAACCAAATCGATCCAAAACATTGGTCAATCTTCCGTAGTAATAATAATGATACAATTAAATCAGTCCCCCAAATATCATAAATATAATTACATAATTACATCCTTGGTTTACTAATTTATAGACAAGAAGATGATGATCATTAGGAAATAAAATAATACACTTAAAATTACCAGACATTAATTAAATCGACTGCAAAAATACCATCGACCATTTTATTATAGTATTCATAATGTTATCAATATTATAGAGAAAGCATTTTGTAACCTTTTTCATAACCATTCATCCAACAACTATTTACATCGATTATTTTATTGCCAATCGGAATTATAAATATAGATATATGAATTCATAATTATATAACAAATAACAAACAGTTTATATAAAATGTAATTAAAACTAGTACAAATTTACCAAATAATTGAAAAAAAATAGTACAATCTAGTTTTAATTTCAAAAAAGTCAATTGATACAAAGACCTATTGACCATAGGTCTTTCTGTCTAAATTAATAATATTTGTTAATAATTCAAATATATCAATGTTACTAGTATAAAATTCAATAAAAAAAGCACGAATTAACAAAACATTAAAATGTCACATAAAAAGTTAAGGAATTGAAGAATATGTAGTCGTATTTATCGATTTGATTGACATTGAACGCACTTGTAATAATGTAATACATTAGTACAATACAAATAAACATTTGCTGAACCGAGGAATAAAATTTTACTTTATTTTAGTTAATTTCAAGTGAAAAAATAATTAATAAAATTGATTTTTGTTCGAAAATATTCATTTGAAATTTATAAAATAATAATAGGTGACAAGTAAAAAAATGGTAACCCATTAAATTTAAAACAGAGTAAATAATATTTATGTTCGACGAGCGCACAGACAAATTTCAAATTGATTGCGTAATCACATCCATAAAACTGATAATAAATATTCTATTTATTTTCGACAGTTAATTAAAAAAAAGAAAATATTTAATGTTCATAGCAAAGTATCAAAAATCATATATCATGGATGTAAATTATACTTTTAAGAACTGAGAGAACTTTAACATTAAAAAAACGACGTGTTGCTGCTGGAAAGTATATTTATTGAAAGAAATCAATTGATACGCAACGATTAAAACGCAATCGTGTGTAATTTCGGATTGATTTTCTTTCTTTCTTTTTTTATTTGTTGTTGTTAGTCGAATACATTGCGGGGAAAATCGATGCGGTTGGCCTACAACAATTATAAATGTGTTCGGTGAATGAAATCTAGCGAACGTTCTGAACAAACAAATGCTGTTTTTGTTCGTTGAAATAGTTTACCTACAAGGTTAAATGCATTTGAAAATATGCTTCGTTTCGGCATAATCGATTGAATCACATTACGTGACGACGATTCATTTTTTACTAGCAATTTGTTATTACACTCGGATTCAATGAATTCGAAGATAATCTTAGGGTGAATTAATGCGAATTATGTGCCATTAAATTTAAAAAAAAACAACATTATACAGTGCGGACGTACCTTTCTGATACTGGGAGCTTTTAATGAATGAGTGAAAACATCACATTATAATGCCGTAAAGCGAGGTACGTCCGTGTATAGAATTGCGTTTACTTATTTAACTACATATACATATTTTGTTGGTGTTTCTTTCTTTCTTTTTCTTTTTCGTGTATTTCTCTGGTGTTGGCGTGCAGTGTGGATTTTGGTTTTCTCTTTTTTGTTGAAGACTCTATTTCTGCATTTAGTTTCCGGTTATCTATGCACCGTGCGTAAGCAGCTGCTAGAACTCCTCTGATCTTATTTTGTGTGGTTACAGAATGCCTGGATACATGTACCAGTCGCCGTACTTGGCGGCAACCGCCCCCGGCAGCTTGATGCCGCTACCAGCGACCCAGCTATCCCACGCGGCTGCCATCGCCGCCACCTCACAGTTTTATGAGTACCAAAATGCAGCCGTGATGGCGGCAGCTGCAGCTGCACCCTACACGGGACAATACCCAAACGGGTTCGAAGCTTACTCCCCGTACGCCACCGGAGCAGCAGGTAAGAACTAGGCATACACAACCCTTGAGGAAGGGCGAACCCTTATGCAAATCGCTCGTTCTAGGTACAACCAGCTATATGCCCTATACTTACGCGACTTTGCCGCAGACACCAAGTTTACCAGCAGCGACTGCAGGAGCCTTCCCAGGACTTCCTTACCAGGCTGCTGCAGCTCAAGCTCCCACAATGCAAGAAGCAAGGTTGCCTTAAACCTCTTTTTTAAAATTTTATTTATTCATCGAATAATTGACGAATACTTTTGACAAACTTATATATATATTTGTATATATATATATTAAAAATACACACATGTATGTATAGAAAAAAATACATATGTATGTGTATATATATATATATTTAAGAATAAGAACCATCCCTTACGTGCAAAGAAGTTAAAGTGTAGAAAATTACAAAGATATTACTGGAAGAAAAAAGACAATTTTATCAAGGGATGAGTGCATAACAAATATTCTTTGCTCAAGCCGCGTTGACTTTGTTACATTTCTTCATATTATTTTTTTCGACAAAATTTTAAATTCATTTAATTTATTAATATAATCAAAAACTAATAGTATACTTTCCAAGTTATATTCATACGTAAATGCACAACGCGACTATTATTTCTTTAAATTATTTATAAAATAAGCAAACAGATGGCTCTGCATAGTTTCCGCAAAATGGTTTTTGTTATGTTGCGGAAACCGTACGTTCAATTCCTAAGTATAAATTATTTATTTATTTCAAAATATATATATATATAAATATATATATATGTATATATCAATATGTACTTATATATATATTTAAACCTTCTTAATAGGAAAACAGGTAAACAACAACTTGAGAATTAAATAAACTTATATATATATATATTTAAAAAAATATTGTTAAAATTAAGTCTAGTCTAATATTACTTTAAAGGAAATGAAAATAAGGAAAAAAAAAGAAGTTCTAGAATTATTATTACTATTATTATTAGTTATTGTAATCACTAACTTATTTAGCGAAATTTGTTCTTAGGCAATGTAAAACTTACGTTTAAAAATCTCTTTTGCGCACAAGTCGAAAATCAAAGGAACGACAAGACTGGCATCTTTAATTCTCTTTGTCTTATACATAGGTTTTCTTTTTCTCTCTCTATCTATCTTTTTTTTCTATCTCTTTAAATTTAATAATTATTTTTTATTTAATTAATCGCAAGAGCACACAGTCCCTCGTGCTATTGTATTGTTATAGCCCTATTTATTAATAATAGAATATGTAACTTATATAGTTTACGAAAGGTTCCTTACCCCAAAATAGTGGAGACCTTTCTGAACTTTTTGGGACAGCTGCGACCGTAAGGATGATCTTTATTTATGAAATACTCCTACAGTGCCTTCTCGAAAAAAAAAATAATAAAAAGAAACATATCTGTACATATATATACTTACACGAATATATGTATATATAGCTATATGTATTACAAAAGCAGAACGCCGCGTGCTTTGTGATAAGGAGGTGTTAGAGAAAGAAACAGAAAAGAAAAGTAAGTCACACTCTAGTCAATTCGCTCAAGCAAAACACTCGAGGCATGTCCGTCCAATTGGTTAGTGCCTTTTATTTTTGTAACAATTCGAAGGCCTATATATATAACAAACAAAAAAAGTATATGAATTCAGGGAAAATTTATGGATGAGTGTGTGCGTGGCCGCGCTCCTGTATATAAGCAATGCTCTGGATGGCCCATCTTGCAGAAATGTTACCATTTGTTACAAAACAGTTTAACATTAACAACTTTATAGCCATCCTCAATGATAATGATTATTATTATTATTTTTGTTGTTGTTCCACCTCCCCCCACCCCCAAGGTACAACAATTATTTATAGTTAAGAATCCTTATTATAATAATATTAGTTAATAAAATAAAATATTATAAGAAAAAATAAACAATGACCGTCTCTTCATTACCCTCAAACTAATTTGCGTTTACTGTTTGAATCTTTTCATGTCCATACGAGAAAAACACATTTTTTTGTGTGTTCAATCACTGCAACCTGACGTTTCTCAGGGAAACGACCTTGGCTCATTAGAATTAAATGTTTGGTGGAATTAGTCGAATCTTTTAACGACAATAATTCAAATTTGTCACAATTGCTTTTCTGCATGCTATACTATTTACATTCTCATCATTATAGTCATATAATACTAGTTGAAATCACTTATTTTAATGACTTCTCAGCGATAGGTACTCATCTTATTATGGAAAACTTTATTTAATTTAAGTTTCATTTTTCATTCGCCTTTTTCACTGGTACAAATATGAAATGTCTATCATCTCAATAGTAAATTGAAAACATATTTCTACAGAATTTAATTGTTTGCGTACAAAAAATACGTTGTCCTAAATATTTTTACTATGATTATAATTTTCCTTATTATTAATATATACACGCAAATCTACCAGAAATATTGGAAGTGTAATTATTTGTAAAAAAAATTTTATTTAGGTACAAAATAACAAAATTGGTAATGAACAACATCAAACAATACAAAAGTTAGATAATAATTTCTTATTCATGTAGATTTATCAACGTTTGATAATGAAAACAAGGTTATTTAAAATTGTCAATATTCAATGTTATTTAGAACTTTATCATTTTTAATGTATAAATGTAATGTTTTCGTATGAATATTTGTTTTTGAAATAATATAAAACGATATTTATATCAAAATATTTCACAGTTGATGAAATAGCTATACCATTTTGTGCAACTTTCTAGCAGAACGAATCAATAATTGATTCTAAAAGCACATACTTTGTTGTTGTTTTGTTGTTTGCTGCGACGCAAATAATTCTTATGTGATAGGATTGTAGGACATATAGCGCACCCTGGGGAATGGAGGTTGAATCGTAGTAATATAATTTTCTAAAGTTATCTACAACTCCTAGTCACGATGGAAGCAATGACCTTCAGGATATCACTTTCCTTGCTTTATGAAATAGCACAATCTGTAACATATTCTTTTTCTGTAGTTCCATACATCCCGAAGCGAGCTGATAAGGAAACCGCTAATTTAAGAATGTCCGTCATTAACAACTCAAAGACGTTGCTCACGCGGAAATTGTTCTCGCACGCAAGGCCGCTGTCCAAAGTATTTATTCACTAAATATACATATATATACAGGAAAGCATCGAAAATAGATAGACGAATACTAAAAGCAGCCTTTTAGGACTCCTTCGTAAGGATAGTCGAAGTAGGACCAAGAGATGGTCTACAAAATGAGCCGAAGACAGTTCCATCCGACGTGAAGATCAGCCTCATCGACAGGTTGTCAGATACTGGATTGAAAACAATCGAAGTCACAAGGTAAACATCGCACATAAATAGATCGTCACTTGTTACGTATCTACCGATCATTTTTCGCAGCTTCGTCAGTCCGAAATGGGTACCGCAGATGGGCGACAATGCCGCCGTCTTTTCTGGTATCAAGAGGAAAGCTGGTATATCGTATCCCGTATTAATTCCTAACGTCAAAGGACTGGAAGCTGCCGTAAGACTATTATAATCCATGATTCAAATATGCAAGGTAGTACAAGAAGTCATTCTGTTTTCGTTATCTTTTGCGCATTATGTAATTCGATGTATGCTGTAATATTCTTGTAGTTACGCGTTGTCCTACCTTGTATATATGTATCATAATTACCATCTATGGAGTTTTATCTACATTCAAATAGTAGTTAAAAGTTGAAGGGATTGAAGAGATCGCGGTGTTCGCTTCAGCATCGGATGGGTTCTCCAAGAAAAATGTTAACTGTACTGCTGAAGAAGGAGTACAAAGAATCAAGGGCGTCATAGACGCAGCAAAAAATCACAATTTACGTATCAGAGGATATGTATCTTGTGTGGTTGGATGTCCTTATGATGGCCCTGTTCATCCATCTTCTGTTACTAAAGTATCTGAGGCCTTATTAGAAATGGGTTGCTATGAAATTTCTTTGGGTGATACAATTGGTGTGGGCACCAAACAAACAGTACATGCTATGATCAAAGACTTGCTAAGTATCACCACTCCAGATAAACTTGCCATTCATTGTCATGACACCTATGGCCAAGCACTAGTTAACATTTGCACTGCTCTTGAGGTAATACACCTATACTATACTCAATAATAACCCATTAAATTAATCATTTTGTAGCTTGGTATCAGGGTTGTGGATTCCTCAGTCTCTGGCCTTGGTGGATGTCCATATGCAAAAGGAGCCACTGGAAATGCCTCCACTGAAGATGTAGTTTATATGCTCAATGGCATGGGCATGAACAATGGAATAGATCTGAAAAAACTGGTAGAAGCAGGCAATTATATATCTGAGGCACTGGGCAAGCCAACAGCTTCTAGAGTAAACAAAGCTTTATACCAAAAATATAACCTGTAACTGTGTTCAATATACTTTATATTTCACAATACTTACATTGCAAGTAATACATACCATATAGTCAATCAATAACATTCCTTTGATCTTCTTTTTTTCTAGTTTTACTTAATATTTAACGAGTAGTTCAAAGCGTAAGGGTGGAAATGTGATAAATCAATGATTTTGAACTACCATGAAGGTGGCGGAACGTCATTTGTTTTGACCCTTTTAAAAATGGCTGCCCTTAACTATAGCTATGCAACACTCTAATGTACCTAAAGAATAACTCCAATATTAATCCATTTTAAATAAGTAATGTGCAATATACAAGTGTAGTTTAAGCAGTAGTGTAATATTTTATATTCAAGGTAAGTTTAACACCCCATCATGAATAATTATGAGTAGAAAATCAATTCTCTTACATTAATCCAAAAAAAAAAGAAGGAAGAAAAAAAGGAATAGTGATACAATTTAGATCCAATATGAAGATTAATGCTACAAGGATGACCACACCAATAGAAGAGAAAATTGACCAGAAATTGAAGGTGAGAACTGGAATGGTGACTGTTAGTGATGGCAAAAGCAGGCCAGTTCCAGTTCGGTTGAATCTATCCATGGAGGTTCTGCGCCTCCAGAAGGAAGAGCTTTTGCCACCAGATGCAAAGCCATCAAACACTAAGGTTAATACAAATACATTCATTTCTTACATACATTCAAGCATATGGATTCACCCACAACTGGAGATTCAGTTATCAATATTTCTTATTGCAGGAACGAATGGTCCAAATTACAAGACAAAAAGTTGGAGGCCTCGGATTAAGTATTAAAGGTGGGGCGGAACACAAGTTGCCAATATTAATTTCTAGGATATACAAGGATCAAGCAGCTGATCAGACTGGAGAATTATTTGTTGGGGATGCAATTATTAAGGGTAACTAATTTTACTTTTCAATTACATGCATTTCATTAAAATATAGATTTTTCTAAGTGGTTTTTATTAAATATTTACCACTAGTGAAAAAGGCTATTCTCATCTAACTATATATCTAATACAGCTCTCACCTATATATATATAATTTGGAAGAGTGTAAAGCTGTTAGTTCAGAATATACTGAATAATAGTACATAAAATATGAAAGCAGTAGTAGTACATGTCAAGTAATTTTATGATTCCAGTTAATGGTGAATATATAACAGCATGTCCCCATGATGATGCTGTGAATATTTTAAGGAATGCAGGAGATTTGGTTGTGCTTACTGTGAAACATTATAGAGCTGCTACTCCCTTCTTGCAAAAGCAAGGTGGGTATTGATACAGCATTTTATAAATCGCTATTCAGATCTTCAGACATTGCAGAGGATGGGCAACAAACAGACAGCAATAGTGAGAGGGACGCTTCTGATGAGAGTCTGAGGTTGGCTACCAACAGCACTGGGTCCAGGCCGAGCTCGTTGTACTCCGAATCAGAAGCGGAGCCCCAAATCCGATGGTCGGATATTGTTACACTGCCTCTGATGATGGCTTATGTAACGCGCTACATCTTCGGTACAGACAAGCTAAGGCCGAACTCGTTTGAAGTTAGAGGACTGAATGGTGTTAGCACGGGAATTATTCATTGCGATGATTCCGCTATTCTGTCGCAGTGGCTCAAGTTTATCACGGACAATATAATAGGACTTACGCATCTGCAGGTATCTTAACATCTGACTAAACATAGAGATTTAACATGATATCAACATATGTTTTTGTGCTTTCCAGATGAAGCTCTACAATCGGAATTTCAGTATTTCGGATAAGATTGAATACATGGGATGGGTCAACGAGGGCGTCCTAAATAATAACCACCCATGGCAGAATTATAAGCCAAGATTTTTCGCATTGAAGGGAACAGACTTGATGCTCTTCGATACACCTCCCGTAAGTAATTTTACACAAATCGAATCTATTTATAATAATAGTTATAAAATAGTTTCTGATTTTCGACCAAACTATTTGTTACAAACTTATCAACAGTTGAAACCGTTATAGTGATATATTAAATACAACGTAAATAATAAGAAATCTTAGTATTTTCTCATTTTTATAAGTTATATAAACGGACTGTATATATATAATTTGATCTGTATATATATAAAATGATCGTTTATGTATAAAAATAATAATTGTGTGCTATGTTTTTAGAATTTAGTTTGTTTTGAAATTTTCGAACCGTAGTATATTGAAACCATTATTTGAATCAACATCATTTTGTAAAAATAACACTGGTTCATTTGTGATAAATATTTATTACATTTCTCTTGATTAAACTAAGTTATTTTAATGGTCTATTGATCCACATTTTTATTCTTTTAATAGAGTATCAAATATAAAACATGCGCGTTCATCTTTTGAAGCATCGATTTCTCTCTTTCAGTAAAATAATTATGAGAGAAGATATGGATATTTTTGTAATAATTTGTAACTTTTGATTTATAACGTCTCGTCAAATTAAACAAAGTTTAAAATGCATATCATTATATCAACTTTTTGTGATTAAACGATTATTTCATTATGCAGTATTTATAATTTATATTTCTAAAACTTAAAATAATAAAAGTTCATTGTGAAGATAACCACCCAAAGGGTACATAATTCGGCTATAACGAGAAAATATATAAAGATAATAATATTGTTATCATTATTACAACAAAATAAATAATTATTTTCAATTTGAAATAAAAGAAAATATTTGATTGCAGTTGAATGTAGGTGATTGGACAAAATGTACGCTGATGTTCAAAGTGTACCAAACAATGTTCAGAGTAGTCAAGGAATCCGAAAACGTGGACGAACGCCAGCACTGCTTCCTGGTGCAAACATCCGGTCAAGACTCCCGTTACTTCTCTGTGGAAACTCGACAGGAGTTGCTAAGAATCGAAAACGCCTGGCACTGTTCGGTTTGCACTGCTGTCATGAAACTTGGAGTTTGTCAATTTACACAAAACATATAACAAATAGTCTAAACATAATTTTTGATATTCCAGAATAAGACTTTCACAGTCAGTTTCAACGGGAAAACGGCCGGATTGACTCTCGATTGGAACTCTGGTTTCTCCTTGAATGAAGCTGACTCCAAAACGCCCGTCTGGCAATACAAGTTCTCGCAGCTACGCGGCTCTTCCGACGACGGCAAGTCCAAATTGAAGTTACATTTCCAGGACACCGAATCTCGCGCCATCGAAACGAAGGTGCGATAATCACCCCTGTTGCGCAATTACTTACAAAAAATGAGTCTTTTCTATTTCAGGAGTTGGAATGTTCGATTCTGCAGAGTCTGCTATTCTGCATGCACGCATTCCTGACCGCAAAAGTAGCATCCGTCGATCCTGGATTCCTCTGCTCCATGTTGCCATAATTTGCGTGCGCACAGAACCAAATACGAGATCGGAGCAAATTTAAAGCGCAAATGAGTTTTATTGGTTTGGGAATTGGGGAAATTGCAATATTGCGATTATTCAATTCCATGGATTTATATTCCCTACTTATTACGAGGTCAGGTTTAGGTATAGGTTTACGAGGGCGCGCGATATGTTATGTTGAAATTTGCGTGCCGTCGCCAAGTCTCGAGTAGACTTCCAAGAGAAAAGAAAAAAAAAGGAATATTCGTACTGATTTACGCCTAATACTATCTAGTAAATTGTTGTTATAATATATTTTAATATAATTTATATATATTGAAGAAACGTAGCGAGGACTGCCCCTCATCAATCAGACCAGTTTTATAGGGCGGAAGGACGAGGATTATCTCGGGACGCGGTTGCAGCCAGACACTTTTGGGATTTTATAGCCTTTACTTGTTATATCGGTGGATGTGGTTCAGCCATTATTCGCTATGCTCATTGCGTCTCGCCACAACCTCGTTCCGTCATATTTCTTCCATAATATAAGCGAAATACTAAGTAATCCGTAGAATAAGCACAACAAATAATGCACGCACCCTCATTTGGTCAATTCACGGGACATCTTTATCGATCGATGCGACAATATTACGACACAAAGTGTCGCAATTTGATCTTCCTCAAAAATCGTTGTATCGATGTTAAAATAGTTAGTACCGTGCAGTGGTGTTCCAGAGAGGCTCAGTCTGGAAAACCACTTCGAACAAATGAACCTCGACGCACACCGGACATAGCCTGTATACAATAAATAAGTAAATTTGAACTAAAAGAAAAACAATACTCGTTTGCTCAGTCTATGTTCGATCAATCCATTGCGGTTTCCAAGCTGCAATGGCGTAGTGCGCATTAATCCTTAGTGTTACTAGAAGACGTTCCTTATCTGAATTAGGCTTTAATTTCGTTGGTTATTTCGTAATAAAGAGTATCGCCTCTCCAATATGCGTACACTGGGGATAAAGTGGAAAAAAAGAGTAACAAGTAATATACAAATAAGTAGTCAATATCTTGTTCAATTATGATTAATTAGCAATAAGTTTCGATCGATACAAACAGAATAATTGGAGATGTATAACGATGCGTTCTCGAGCGACCGTTGCGGGATATTTTCTAAATTGAACAAATTGTTAATAATTTTTAACCAAAGAAACGTGATCTTTTTAATTAGGTATTATTGATTAGGTGTAATTGAGAAATATAAGAAGAAGAAGAAAAATAAGCAAGTAACCCTTGATATCCGAGATCTGTTCGTTGAAAAATTGTGGATGTTATTTAATGAAGAAAGCAGAGAGAAAAACGCGAAAAAAACATGGAAATTATGAAATTAGTTGTTAAACTTTAAAAAGAATATATTTGATTATTATATCTGATTGTTTGTATTCATATTTGTACAGTATATATTATCAATTACATAGCTCTTGATTATTGACCCATCTGGGATAGAGCTATGATGTTTGTGTGTTATTTATTTAACATATAATTAAATAAAGTTAATGATAATGCAGAGTATTTGTTTTATTTTAGAAGCTATATGTAGGAGCGTTGGAAAGACAGTACGAAGGTGTATGTAGGCTTGTTGGAAAGGTGAGATATTCAGCTTTCATACGAGTGGTCGATGATGTAATTATCTTTAGGGGTTGTCGGGAAATTCACGAAAAACTGTGAAAACTGAAAAAATAATGGAAAAAAACGTTCTACAGCTCATAGCAGGTGACTCGAAGATAGCTAGAAGCTATTTGTAGGCGCGTTGGAAAGATGAGACATTCAGCTTTCATATGCGTGGTCGTTGATGTAATTTTCTTGAGGGGTTATCGAGAAATCCATGAAAAACTGAAAAAACGTCAATTCTCTGTTTTTTCAATTTCTTAAGCTCATAGCAGGCGACTCGACAATAGGCTGAATATTTTGTCTTTCCAACAAGCCTACATACACCTTCGTACTGTCGC